CCCCCCCCCCCCCCCGCGCGCCGAGTGAGAGGAGAGGACGCTAGGTTGAGGATAAAATAAGAATCTACGACCTTTTCTATCTTACGCAGGAAAAGCCAGATTCCTTTAACCGTGGCAGACCTGTGAAGTAGTGCTGTCCCATTTCGTAGATAAGGAAAAAGAAGCTTACAGTTGGCTCTGATAAGAGTTGAACTTGAACCCAGACAATTGGTTCCTGAGCCTGCCTTCATGGTGTGAGCTCTCCTTTGAGGCTCCTATTGTTATTCACGAGATGGTCAGTAATATTATGGATTCTGGGACCAGACGATGTATGTAGTTCAGTGGACAGTGCGTGCCTAACTCTCACAAATGCACCATCCCCTAGCTCGAAATAAACCTAGCATGGTGAGGCACATCTGTATTCCAGCATTCAGGAAGAGACAGAAAGGTCTATAGTTCAAGGCCATTCTTGGATACATAGAGAATCTGAGCCTAGGCTATATGAGTCTGGCTGTTGTGAGGCTTAGAGACATCTATACATATAGTCAAACTGTGGGAAGGGCGGGATCATACCTTAAGTCACTTAAGCGCTGTGTTCCAGGGCTGCCCAGGGACAGCATCACAGCTGAAAACAAAGGGTGAAAAAAAAATTTCCAAAGTGTAAAAATATATGAGGGAATTAAAAAAAAAAGAATCATAAACCAAGATACATTCTCTGTAAGCCTCAGGTACACTTGGAGAGGAACCGGAAAGGAGGGCTTTTATTACTAAAAGGGAAATTTCCATAAACAGCTTGGATACAAAAATCCACTGGTTTTGGATTGGAGAGGCAGAAATTATCCTCAGCTCTTTGGAGGAGCTGCTGCCATGGGTATCTTGTCTAAAGCTGTTAAAATAAGCCTTGCCACAGAAATCTTGTGTATATATGTGGAGAGTGCAAAGTATGTGAAAAAGAATTTTTTGAAGTCTTTAAGACAGTTCTCTTGGTTTGTTTGTCTTCAAGACAGGGCCACACTATGTAGAACAGGCTGGCTTTGCACTCATAGAGATCCTCCTGCCTCACTGCCTCCCTAGTGCCAAGATTAAAGGCATATGCTGCCAGGGCCAGCTAAGGGATGTATTAGTTGGTAAAGCACTTGCCTTGCAAGCTTGATAATTTACGTTCAATCCCCAGCACCCACATAAAAAAAAAAAAAAGCTACATATAGGACACTCACTGTAATCCCTTTGCCTGGAGGTAAAGTCAAGAGGATCCCTGGGGCTCATGATCAATCATACACAATCCAATGTAGCCTAATTGATGAGTTCGAGGCCAGTGAGAAAACCTGTTTCATAGGAAGTGAATGGCTTTCCTGATGTTGACATCCTAGGCTGTCCTCTGGCCTCCGTATGTGCACACACACACATACACAGACACACACACACACACACACACATGTGGATGCCATTCATGGAGGAGCATATGCACATATCACACAGACACAGACAGACAGACTCAGACACACACACACACACACACACACACACATACAGAGGTGGATAACATCCAAAGTTTTCATCTGGCCTGCCCATAGATGTTCTTGTACAGGACTACCCTCTGAGCCAAACTGCCATCATCCTGAGGAGCTCTTCTGGGCCTGCTCCAAGGTTCACCACAGTATAGATGTTAGTCTGTGGGCTTTTCTTCACCCCTTTGCCCTCAAGTAACAACAGGGCATTTCTACGCCTGCTCTAGCCTGTTTTAGCTCCCGAATAAATGACACAGGAACCTGATAAAACTATTAACAAGCTGCAGGCAGTATACTGGGCAGATACTCATCCATTCTAACCCTCTATGGCTGCCTACTTCCCAGCCACGTGGTCCTTTACCTGCAATCTGGGTCTTGTCATGGCTCCTGTGTTCCATGTGTGTCCTCGTGGTGACTCCTGGCAAATCCTCCTGACCCTGCTCCTCCTCTTCCTCTCTTCTTCTCTGCTTCTCTCTTTTTGCTTGCCCCCTCCCCCGACTGGGGTTGGAAGTCTCCTCCTATTCCCTTCTGCCCATCTTTACACTGAATCAGCTCTTTATTAACCAGTCAAAGGTAATGGAAAAGAATTTTTACACATCATTGAGACAGGAGATGCTCCAAATACCATGACAATGTTAATGTCTAGACTGCAACCAGATCTCTGGGAACAGCAATCAGCATCTGAATACACAGTGCATAAAGCCCCTAAATCACAGCTGGGCTTGTTGACTATTAGCTGTTCTGTTCCTCTTGGAAGGAGGGACAGGACTTGAGACCTTCACCTGAGTATTCAGCTACCCTCTCCAACCAGTTGTTTGCAAGTCTATCCTAATTCCACGTGGATTTGTGGTCTCCCGGAAGGGCTGGGGTAGTGGTTTTCAACCTGGGGGTCAAATGATCTTTTCACAGGGTTTGTATGCCCCAATATCCTGTATATCAGATGTTTACATTATGATTCATAACAGTAGCAAAATTACAGCTATAGAGTAGTGACAAAAATAATTTTTTTTTTTCAAGACAGGGTTTCTCTGTGTAGCCCTGGCTGTCCTGGAACTCACTCCGTAGACCAGGTTGGCCTTGAACTCAGAAATCTGGCTGCCTCTGCCTCCCAAGTGCTGGGATTAAAGGCGTGTGCCACCAAAGCCTGGCAACAAAAATAATTTTATGGCTGAAGTTCACCACAACATGAGGAACTGTATTAAAGGGTTGCATCTTTAGGAAGATTGGGAACCACTGGTTAGAGGATATAGTTGAGGAAGGATTAGGAACAGAGCTCCATTTACACAGCCATACCTGCTAGCATACAAATCCTCTGGGCTCCTCCTAGGGACATAGCAATAAGAATCTAGCAATAGGGACCTAGCAATGCATTGCTTGCCATTGCTTGCTCTGTACTAGCCAGGTGTGGCCGCAGCCATGTACAAAAAGGACTACCTGAGCCCCAACCTCCTACCCACTTCTGATTCTCTTTTCTCTCTCTGTTTTCACATGTTCTCAGCTGGCCTCTCTTTCTTTCCGTCCTTCTCTGTCCCTGCTTTCTCTGCCCTCATGGCTCTGTCTGCCTCTACTCCTTCTCCAGGTTCCCACTCCCCTCCCTTCTCAAATAAACCTCCCTTATGCCAGGTCTGTCACATGGCATGATTTCTCAGGGGACACCTCGGTGTGGGCCTGCCAGGTAACTCCTTATCCTGCTGCTGATGCATTATATTTCATAACAGTTAAGGTGTCGGGCTGGGGAGATGGCTCAGTGGTTAAGAACGCTGTCTGCTTTTCAGGAGATCCTGAGTTCAATTCCCAGCAACCACATGGTGGCTCACAACCATCTGTAACGGAGTCTGGTACCCTCTTCTGGCATGCAAGCAGAACTGTACTGTAAACATAATAAATAAATCTTAAAAAAAAAACAGTTAAGGTGTCTCATGCATGCTGGGTGTATAAGGCTTCCAGGGTGGCTGCTTTAAGGTGCTCCTAACTTAACCTCTCACCCATTATTCTGAAGAAAGCCTGGTTCTGAAAGTTCTGAAGAATGAGCTTTGGTGGGATAGTATCTTGATTTGCTGTTGGGACCCTAGGAGCAGGGTATAGCGTGAGATAGACATTCCTTGCATCACCCCCAGAACCTGTGCACACATGAACACACATACACAAAAGAGAAATGAAAAAAGAACCCCTCAAATTATAGCTAAATATCTTGTAAAGTACAAAGTGAATTTATAATTTTTTTGATATAACATAGAATGATTAAATCAAGCTATTAGCCTATATATCAACTCAAATGTTTAGGGATGAGAACATTTGGGACTTATTCTTCTTTGATCTGTGGAAATATACAGCATTTATTAGCCGTAATAGATCTCAAAGGGGGAAAAATTTAGATGCTTATCCTTTATAACCTTCTAAAGAAATCTTGACACTTAACCTTCGTATGACGCTTAAAGCTCCATAACCTTTGATTTTCATTTCCCCACAGCTCCCCATGCCCTGCTCTGCCCCTCCACCTCCCTCTGCCCCGCCTCCGCTCTGCCCCCCTCCTCTGCCCCTCCACCTCCCTCTGCCCCGCCTCTGCTCTGCCCCCCTGCTCTGCCCCCAGCCCTACTCTGGTAGCCATCATTCTACTCAGCTTCTGTGAGTTCAGTTGCTTTTGATCAAGCGTGTGCGATCATCAAGGATTTGCCTTTATGTGCTCGGCTTACCTCACTTAATGTTTTTCAGTTAAGTGGCTGCTGGCTAGTATATATTTATTTTGAGGATCCTCCCTTCCCATTTCTAAATTTCCCATAATTCATAGTCTTTTCGCTTGGTTGGACTTTTTCTCCTTCAGGTGGAGCGAGTGGCATCCGAGAGAGTCCCTTGCTGCTATGACTCCTCACTGGCACAAGGTGGCACTGTTGAGGTTGGATCCTGCTCCATCCAGTGTTAGCCCCGGAATGCCATGAAGGCCTGAAGATTAGGATTCGAGCTTCCACTTTGAATGTGCAAACCCCTGCGATTCCCCCAAATGTGGGAAACTTGACTGCTTTTTAGTAGTGGAGAACCTCATTCACATTTTTCCGAGAGAGAGAGAGAGAGAGAGAGAGAGAGAGAGAGAG